TGTTATATCCCGGAAGATACGATGTTCATTTTCACCTGTAGTTAAACATTTTCTCCTTCTTTTTTTTAAACTTAAAAACCAAACAACCCTTATTACAGAAATTTAACAAACATACTCAAAAGTAGGACAGAATACACCCTTCATCCAGCTTTAAAAATTATCAACTTTGCCCATCTTGTTTCATCTCTCCCCCATCCACTTTTTTTCCCTCTCAAGTATTTAAAAATAAACCCCAGACACCAGATATTGTATCATTTTACCCATAAATACTTCAACATGAACCCCAACATAAGGATGTTCTGTAAATTCTTAATTCTGCTAGGACGTTTTAGTTAATAATATTCCTGTTAATTATCTAACACTTAATCTATTTCACTCCAGAAGTAGTAGAATTTCAGGAAGCAATTGCTTAGTCTCACTATATGGTAACATTTTAAACGAATAAAACTCTCTAAGTTCTTTTAAAGAACTGCCATAATACATCCTATAACCTGACTACTCATTAGGATGGATGGGGCTTCTTACTCATAGCGACCCCACAGAACAGAGTAGAACTGCCCCATAGGGTTTCCAAGGAGTGCCTAGTGGATTTGAATAGCTGACCTTTTGGTTAGCAGCTGAATGCTTAACCACTGCACCACCAGGGCTCCTTACTAACATAGCCTGGGCCAATTTTCACAACCAGATTTTTCAGAGGTAGATTGCTAGAACTTTCGTCTGAGACACCTCTGGGTAGACTTGAACCACCAACCTTTTGGGTAGCAGCCAAGTGTGTCAGCTATTTGCACCACCAAGGGACTCCAGGTATACAGGTAGTCCTGACAGAACCAAGATCTCGGGGAAGGAATCATGCTAGATAAATGAGGTACTCAGCTACAATTTTCATCATCCTGTTAAAAAAGTCCACACTTTCTTTCCATGTTTTTCCACGTCACCTTAGCTTAGCTTGGTGGACTTTTTTGGAAGGTACTATACCATAAGCACAACATTTACAACAACTCTTCCGGGTCATTGTTATCTTACTCTCTAACAGAAAAACCCAACAAAATAAACAAACCAACACTCTCCCCATAGAATCAGGATATAGGTTAGTGTTATCCCATCTTTCATTGTTCTCTTTAACTTTCACAAGCAGGAAAGATCACAG